AAGAAGGTCTTAAAGTGTGGGTAATAATCCGTGGCTGGGATACGTGAGAACGTGGTTGGTATGATGTGGACATAGCGGCATAACGTGTTAGAGTATCTGCCTGTTCGTTGCCGGGGATTCCAACATGGCTGGGCACACAGCAAAATTTGATTGTTTTATGGCGTGTGGACAGGCAGAACAACCAGTTCTGGATCTTACAAACAAGGGGGTTGGTGGTGTGTATTGACTTTATGAGAGTCAATAAGTTAAGTTACGGGAGTCAGTAAAAAATGTAAAAGAGGAAGAGGGGAGTGAGTATATGTGTTTTAGGGCAAAAAGGAGTGCATACAGTTTTGTAGTAAGGACACTGGATTCAAGAGGGAGGGAGTGTAAACATGTAAAACCAAATGTAAAGCACAATTTTTTCAGCAATTTCGGGGGGGGGGGGGGGTAGATATACTCTCGCCCCTCCAGTTTTCATTCTGGGGGAGTGCTCGCCCCTCTGGTGTCTGAGGCAAAAGTAGGTGGAGGTGAGTGTGTGGTAGAAGATGGGGTGGAACGTTTAGTTTGTCTGATGCGGGTAGTGCGAGGAGGGAGAGGAGGAGGTGCGGGGCTGCAGTAGAGATTGGAGTGTTTAGAATGGGAAAAGAATTTGCCTGGGGGAGGTAGGAGGTAGAAGTGGGGGAAGTAAAATGGAGGAGGGATAGGTGTAGGGGAGGGTGCAGGAAGATCTTGGAAGGGAGGGGGAGGGGAAGAGTGAGTGATATTACTGGAGTTGGGAGTAAGAGAAAACCTCATCGACATGCTTACTGACTGTCTACACTAGAGTGAAACCAAGTCTGAAGCAGAAAGTTACCAACTCAGACTCAAATTTGTAGGTGGGACAGCCCCTATGAAATACATTATGGGGGCTGCCACAGTTGGTACATGTGCGTGACTGTGTAGAGCAGTTTGATCGGTTATGACCAGGTTGGGCAAATAGAGAGCATCTGGCTGTGCAACGGCAGTGTTTGGCAGGATGTCTTAAATGCCAATAATTTTGAAACTGACGGGGAGGAGGTTGATATGGTCAGACGGGGAAGGATTCTCCACCAATGTAAACATTAAAGGGAAGATCATGTCTACAAAAAGTGATTTGGCAATGTTGGTGGAGTTCTTATGATGACCTCTAGGAGGAATGGAATAGCACTGTACTGATATCACATCATGGCCTGTGAGGCAGGCGGGTAAATCTTCACAATCTGACCAATTTTTGCAATAGATAGAGCAGTTTCCTGGGGAGATAGAGGCAGTTCCGGTACAAGTATAGAGGGTTGGATGAGGTTCAGCAAGACTAAGGTTGCCAGAGATCAATTAGAGTTGATAATGCTATAGCTTGGTTTTCAGATGTAACTGTGACAAGACGGGAACGATTGGGTCACCTACGGAAAGAGACTTTGCCTATTTTTTTGAGACATTGCCGGATGAGAAAAGCGTTGTCAGAGTAAGGAGCTGTGGGAGATTATGAAACATTGGACCCATTTGGCTGGGCTAAATAGAGTATTTAAGATATTTTTAGAGATGGGGGTGGTAGAAAGATGGGACCATGTGGAAGAGGGAGTAATTATAGTTGTAATTATGATTAATTATAATTTAGTTTGATTCCATTTCTTACAATGGATATTCTTGGTATGACATAGTCTGTTTCAATTTACTTCTAAATTACGGCCATGGAATGGCCAAGGCTACTATCCACTGGCAGCAAGAATTGAACGCAGGTCAGCAAGATTGCTAGACGAGATCGCTACTGATGCACCACACAGTACACAGTAGTGTTGAGGGAGGTAGTATTACAGAGGTGGACAATAAGGCTGTAAAGTAGTAATAAGGGAGGATGGAGGAGGGAGGTTATAATGGTTAATGGTTAAAAGCAAGATAAATGTGCTAGACATCTAAGGTCATGTAGCACTATAGTGCTACATGTTAGTGAAGAGTGGTTGAGTTAGTGATTAGTTGTCTAAGCTGGGCAAAGGAATTGGTGAGTGAAAGGGTTAAAGGTCGGGTGTTAGATTAAAGTATGGACGAGACATAAAGGAAGAGACAAAATGATAATTGGGGATTGGTATTGGAGGATGTGTAAGAAAGGTTTCTTGAAGGCATACAATAGATGGGTTATAAGAGGAAAGGATATGACGAAGGTCAGGTCTCTGGGAGCGGAAACCGCGAATATTCCAATGAAGGATAGTTATACTTTCGTTGATTTAGTGATATAGATTGTAGTACGTGTTGGAGAATTTGAAGGGGAAGCAGCTAGAGGGTGGGATAAGGACTGAGAGGTTTGAGATGGGAGAGGTGTGGGAGTTGGTGTTCTATCAGGAGGGGTATTAGGAGATGGAGGGTCTGAGGAAGGGGATACTTGTGACATAAGGGATTCACGTGTGTATCCAGGAGGGAGTGGAAGGGATAGAGGGGATGGTGGGAGGGTTAATGTGGGCGGGGTTGGGGTCAGGGGGGATGGGCTGTGTTGGGAGGGGGTAGGAGGATAGGGTGTAGGGGGGATATCGTTAGGAGGAGGATGGATATCAGCAATTACTTGGAGTGTGGAAGGAGCAGGAGTTGTAGGTTGAGTGTCAGTTTTCATTAAGTAATCTTGAATATTTTCAATAGTTTCTTCTGTGGAGTTGGTTTTGGGGGATAAAGGATTTCTTGTGAGGGGTGGGGGAGAGAGGACTGGTGTCTCAAGAGTAGGGGCAAAGGATGGTGGGGGTGATTGTGTGGTGGGGGAAGAAGGGGTGGAACGTTTGTTCTGTCTGTTACGGGTAGTGCGAGGAGGGAGAGGGGAAGGTGTTGGGGTTGTAGTGGTGATTGGAGTATCTGTAGTAGAGATTGGAGTGTCTGGATTTAGGATGGCAAAAGAGTTTGACTGGGGAAGGTAGGAGGTAGAAGTGGGGGAGTTAGATGTAGGAGGGGTGGGTTTAGGAGAAGTGTTAGAATGAGCAGTATTACTGGAGTAAGGAGTAAGAGAGAATCCACGTCGACGTGCTTCCTGTCTGGCTTCACGTAGTGTGAGTCCAAGTTTGAATCTGAGAGTTGCTACCTCAGATTCAAATTTGTAGGTGGGACAGTCCCTATAAAATACATTATGGGGGCCGCCACAGTTGGCACATGTGCGTGATTGTGCAGAGCAGTTAGATCGGGTATGGCCAGGTTGGGCACATAGTGGGCATCTGACTGTGGAACGGCAATGTTTGGCTGGGTGTCCTAGACGCCAACAATTTTGGCACTGACGTGGAGGAGGTTGGTATGGACGAACAGGGAGGGATTCTCCTCCTATGTAGACGTTAAAGGGAAGGTCATGTCTACGGAAGGTAATTTTGGCTATGTTAGTGGGTTTCTTTCGATGACCTCTGGGGGGAATGGAGTAGCATTGTACTAATGTTGCATCATAGTCTGTGAGACAGGCAAGTAGGTCTTCTCCACAATCTGACCAATCTTTGTCATAGATTGGGCAATTTGCTGGGGAGATTGACTGTTCCGGTGCAAGTATTGAGGGTTGGATGGGGTTCTGCAAGGATGGGGTTACCATATAGGTCAGTTAGTTTTGTTAATGCTATAGCTTGGTTTTCGGATGTTACTGTGACAAGACGGGAGCGGTCGGGTCGACTACGGAAAGAGACTTTACCTACTTGTTTTTGGAGGCATTGTTGGAAGAGAAGGGTGTTGTCAGAGTAGGGAGCTGTAGGAGGGATCACGAAAAATCGGTCCCATTTGGCTGCACAAAAGAGAGTATTCAAGATTGTTTTAGAGATAGGGGTGGTAGAAGGGCGGGGGCGTGACGAAGATGGAGTAGTGTTGGGGGAAGTAGTGTTATGGAGAGGTGGGCTATAAGGCTGTAAGGTATTAATAAGGGAGGATGGGGTGGTTGATGTTGGAGGTTGTGGGGGTAGAGGGTCCCCTTGAGGGGTAAGGGCTAGATAACTAAAGTCAGGGGAATACCGTGCCCATGGCTCCCTCAGGCCGTTCAGGACTGGCACAAAGTCAGCCTTTCATCCTTTCAGCACGGCTCTCACACCTTAGGAGGTGGATAGCAGAAGGGTTTGGTGAAGGGACAGAAACAAAAGTGGGAAGGGAAAAAAAGACCATGCATAATTAGTTGAGTCGAGGGCTGAGTCCCAAGGTTGGGGAGTTCCCCATCATTGGGTCCCAGTCTCCGCCTCCTAAGCCCCCCCCCCCCCCACGACAACAACGGGCAAGGGATTGGGGGGGATGGAGGAGGGAGGGTGACTGATGAAAAAGGTTGTGGATAATGGACTAGTAGGTAATGAAGAAGGGGCAGTGGTTGCAGTTGTTCAGAGTTGTGGTCAAAGGAGAGCCTGGAGTCAGGAAACCATGAGAGTTTGAGTTGGTGGGGCTATTTGATGAAGGGGCAAGCCACATTGCCCCTAACAAGGATATAACATCTTCATTATTGGCCATGGTAAGTCGAGAGTACGTTGAGGGGAGAAAAGTCCACCCCTCACGGTCCCCTTGAGGGGTAAGGGCCAGACAACTAAAGCAGGGGTATACCATGCCCATGGTTCACTCAGGCCATTCAGGACAGGCACAAAGTCAGCCTTTCATCCTCTCAGTACAGCTCTCACACCTTAGGAGGTGGATAGTAGAAGGGATTGGAGAAGGAGCAGGAGGGGAAAAAAGACCCTGCAAAATTAGTTGAGATGAGGAATGAGGCCCAAGGCAGAGGAGATCCTTGGGTCCCAGTCCTCGCCTCCTAAGCCCCCCCAGGACAACAGGCAAGGGATTGGGGGGGAGGTCCACCAGTGAGATATTTTGATCCTTAGTGAAGCAAGTTCATATGTAATAAAGTGATGCTCGAAGTTTCAGCTTCCAAGGCTCTGTCTTTCACTATTTCTCAGTTTCTGTCTCTGCCTGTGTATCTGTTTCTCTTTCTTTCCCAAGCTGTCTTTTTTTTTTATTCTAAAAAAGTATATAAATAAGGTTAGGGCTACATTTTTTGAGGATAAGAAGACACATTTTTTGGGGGGTGATTTATTGAATAAAAGTCAATGCGAAAAAGTATAGACTAGACTCTTTTTGTATATAATGGACAGATGGAGGTGATTCAACTGCACAAAACATTAAAACATTAAAGAAAATTGTATGACACACAAACTCCATTTTTGTACAAATGATTCATCACATAATAATACCAATAAGTGACCTCAAAAAATAACAATTAAATGATAATAAAAATTAATAAAAACAGATCATTACATACACCTAGATCTGTGAATATCTATAAACATTTGACCTTATTTGACCTTTTTGCATAATTCAAAGTCAAGCTATAAATGTCTAGCTTTCTTTAGGTTATGTATTGGAAAAAAAAAGACAAAGAGTATAAGGTCGGATGTTAGTGTGCTTGAATGACTAGTCTTATGATACTTCCAAATTGCATGAGAGAAGGAAGAGGAAGACAAGAATAGAAGAGGAGTAAAAGGAAGAAAAAAAGGAAAAGAAAAAGAATGAAAAGAGCAAAAAACATAGATGGAAAGACAGCTAGACACAAAATGTCAGTGCATTTAATTGTAAAGTCATCAATGTTTAACAGTGGAAAAGTTACAAAAGTATTAAAATGCACTAAAACATCCACTACAGTTTCAAAATACCCTGCCTTGTCCAACCTGAAAATCCTGAATCATATTACGATAAAGGTTCTGAACTCGGTTAGCTATTTCATCATGACTTTTATATATCCCATGCCAAAACTATCTGAGTTAACCATCAATGCATTTTTACTATTATCTTTTAAAAGTCATTTTCTCCCTTGCCCCACTCAGATATTCATTAATCATAACTCCTATTCCATTCCTCAAAATATCACCAGTCGACATTCATAACATATAATAAAATATATGTATTTCAACACTGCTCTCAAACCTAGTAAGCTAACTTATATTTCAACATTCCTTCTTCATATTTAAAAGCAATGATGCCCTAGAGAAAAGAAAAAGTAATGTCACACACTAGCCCAGACTAAGACTACAGTGCCTATTTAAGTAACACACTTTTCAACACTTGCCTTGCCAGAGTGATTGAAGTAAAACCTAAGTAAGGTGGCCTATCACTAACAAACAAAACTAACCACTAATATGACCAAATATCCTCTAAGCTAGGATGAACCACACATCAAAAGAAAAAATGCACTAATGCTCACATATGCCCTATCTACTGGAGCTGTTCTAAAAGCTTACATTTCCTTTTCTAAGCAGAAATAAAAAAACATGCAGCTGTGTGTGGGTTGTCATTAACACCCTTGAAAGCTGAGGTAAACTGCATTATCATCCTTATTACAGTTAAGATTATAATTATCATAATCCTCATTATTATTTCTTACATGCTACAATATTTTTTTCTGTTTAATTTTTTTCCAAAGTAGTCATCATCTGATATATGAAATGTTTAAATGTCTTTTCTTGCCTATCATGATCACTATTTTACCAAATCACCTTTGCAATACTATCGTGTAGCATATGATTTATTACAGAGTAAGTACTGTGTATTTAATACAAAAGAAAAGAAAAGTATTTTTGCAAAGACAGGATACATTCTTACCTTTTTTTTTCTTAATGGAATAGTACCATAGTTGTTTGGGGAGAGGGAAGGGAGTGGACAAAAGGGGAAAGATAAACTAAGAGAGGAAAAGAAATAAGAGAGAGAAAATTCTAAAAAGTTATTTAATGGAAAAGGGAGCAAAAGCAGGTTCTAAAAGTTGTCAGAGGTCACACCTCAAGAAACATTATTCTAAATATTACAAAATTACACACAAAAAAAAAATGTCTAAAAGATATTGATGTATAAACAAATATTCATTTTCATGAATGTAATACTAAGTACAACAGGCCTCCCAATTGTTAAGGGTATTAACTTTAGCATACAGAGCATCCATATCATTCCTGCTGTCCACACAACCTTTGTTGATTCATCAAGGCTAACTGTTCTAATGAACTTTTCCAAATCAGCAAAGAACTAAGAAATCATCATTATGTCTTTTGTTTTGTTTTGTTTTTTGTGTTTTGTTTTTTTTACTTACATGAACATGGTTCTGAAGTTGTACAGACAACTTCACAATTTTTTTTTAATTCTGCAATTTATCAAGTTTGTTTATAAGGATATTTGTACACAAACCCGTGGCAGAAAAAGTACAACTTATTAAAATTTCTCTTAAAATAAACAAAAAGAAAATGACAGTAATGATGAAATAAAGCAACACAAAAATGTACACAGTAAAACAGTTAGGATTTCTTAAGAAGTATGAGAATAAATGTTTGTACACGTCAGGTCTTTAGAGCAAACTTCTTAAAACCAATGAAGACACCTGTAATCCTGTTCTTAAGAAATGTGAATGAAGTAATTTAAAAAAAATAATAATAATCACAACCTTTCTAGTTAATCATATTTCAACAAAGGAAAATAATGATCACAAAAATAAGGGATGCACCCACCAGTCAAGGAATAAGGAAAGGGAAGGAAGAAAAATGAGAATAAAAGAAATGTCTAAAAAAATAAGATAAGAGCAATGATAAAAATCATGCAAGGTTATACTTTTGAACTGCCTAAGATTTAAGTCTTAATTTACCTGAATGAAATCACAATCTCCTTCTTTACATTCTATCAAGTCACCTTTTCTATCACTGAAATATGGAGATTCTAATTGTACCTAACTTTCTTTTTTTAGCTCCATATACTACTAATTTTTGGTAAAATTGGCAAATTTGTAAAAGTAAACACACATTTAGCCTAAAAAATTGCATGAATTCATCATAAAACAAATAATGGTTAATGTTAATCTTATAACTTCAGCATAATGAATATAAAACTAATTTAGTAAGGCCACAATTTGCATTCCTTTTTTTCAAATGCTTGCTTTTTTGTTGTCTTAAAATCTACAATGCATATTCAGATGAAACAGATCAAATCAACACAAATGAGAATAACAAGAAAATTTGGGCATCCTGATTTAAGGCCACAATTCACTTCATCTTTCTTCACACAATGCAAATAAGATCCCTAAAGAATTATCTTTCTAATCATCACAATCTTAAGCATCATTTTTTTATTAAATCATTATCATCCTCCATTTTTTTTCAACAAAAGCCAAAGAGGACAAGATGGCAAGAAGTAAAGCAGAATAGAACCAATCACACCACTGAGTACACATTACAGCACCGCTTGCTATATGCTACAGGAGAGAGTATGAAGCGGGAAAGAGGGCAGGGTAAGAATGGCGGGGAAAAGGGGAGGTAAGCACGAGTGAGGAAAGTAGGAGGTAGGAGAGCTAACCTGCACCTGGAATAAGAGAGTGAGCGAGGGCGAGAATGAGAGACAGACAGAATATGAAAGAATAGAAAGAGCAGGAAGAAGGATGGATCAGTGAGTCAACCTGCTTTCTTCAAGAAAAACAGCTCAAATTGTGAAGTGAAAATGCAGTCATTCCCAATGTACAAGACAAAAGTCACTCTTGAATCTGAACAATCATCCCTATAAGAAGTTTCTAACCACTTTTGCTTTTTTTCTTTACTAACAAAGAAATGAACAAACAAAAAGACATATACTAACACATCTACAATAGGGAAAAAATTGTGGAATGTTATCTATATGATTCCCTACATATGAATAAGGCCTATGACCTTTTCATAGACCCTTTTAAATGAAATTCGCAAGTTATGTAAGAATTATTTTTTCCTCATAATAAAACAGGACCCTTCTATATATATAAAATAGAAATGGTAATAAAAGAAACAAGCATCACTTTAAGTTTGCAACCTGAAATCTACAGCCATCTGACCTGCCTTCATTAGCAGTGTGTAGATCTAAGCTCTCTCTCGTCTCTTTTCTTCACTGGGTCAACCAGAAACTTTTAATATCAACTATTTTTTTTTAACAAAATGGATATTAGGTTCACTTAGGCTGCAGTCAAAAGAGATGGCTAGATCGCTGTCAGAGATTTCTTAAATAAAACAGTCATAGTGACAAGTGCAAGAAGAGCACTAGATTTGTTTACATATTACATGCTGATAATTTTTCTTTTTTATAGTCATGTCTTACTTGAAATGACTCTTGATACTTAAATTATGAGAGGAGAAAGAATTAGAACATAAAATAAAAAGGACCAAATGCAATATGGGTAAACCTACCCAGTTCATAAAAAAATATATATGTACATGTGAAAGAGAGAGAGAAAAAAAAAAAAAAATTTACACCCTGAATCAAGATAAAAAATAAAACTCTAATTACTACATATTTGGTAAGCTCTAAGGTCCACAGTGAGACGTCGTCAAAGTGGGGCTGCTGACATTCTTCTCATTGCAACTTCAAACACAGGAAGCAAAATGACAAAAAAAAAAAAAAAACATTCTTGCCTGTCAAAGTTATCTGTGAAGCAAACTTCCTCATCACAAGGCCAGTAAAGAGGGTTGGGGAAGTTGGGTGGGGGAAGGAAAAAGATGTGAGGAGAGTGGGTGTGCAGACTGGTCTACCTGTGCTTGACATAATGGAAGAACCAGTCTATTTTGGTGGTCCAGGCACCATCATAGGCCTCACTGAACTGGTTCTGGAAGTACTGGAGGGCTTCCTCCTCTGTGGCCTCCACAGCCAGCGTCTTACGCAGGTAGGCGACCTCATCCTGGCTCTGTGATGGAAAGGAAAAAGGTATTCAAAATGCTTTGTTATCCCCATATCTAATTATGGTCTCCTTTATTAAGAGAATTTGTTTTCTTCCCACTGCATTTCCACTCCTATATCATTTTACTATTATTATAATAGCAATAGTAATAGTAATAGTAACAGTAACAATAGCAGTAGTCGTAGCATTAAAAGAAGTCGTAAGAGTTGTAGTAACAGTAGTAGTAGTAGCAGTAATAAAATATACAATACTACAAAAGTAACTGATGATGATGATGATGATGATGATGATGATGATGATGATGACAATAACAATGACAATGACAGTAATAATGATAATGTTCATGATACTGATAATTTTCTTTCACACATACAACAGAAAACACATCCCACATACTTGCAGCTCCGACATTCCCGCAGGCAGCAGCAACATGAAGAGGTTTACAATGAGGCGATAGTGTTTACGCAATGCCAGATATGCCTTTCCGCACAGCACCTGGAATCTGTTGAAGAAAGAACAAAGTTAATAAACAGAGATCTACTTAAAAGATATTCTATTTAAAAGACCAAAAAAAGATAAAGAGAAACAACTATAACAATAACAATAATAAAATCTACAATTCATCCACACCTCTGGAACTCCTGACTCTCCTTCGGATTCTCTTCCCCCTTAGCAATCACGCGCAGGAAGTCTTGCGTCAGGACGAATGGCACTCGTTCCCGGTTGATGCCAAACTTCTTCTTGAAGTTCCCCAAGATGTGGCCAAAGTCAATGTGGAAAATCTGTTGGTGGATATGGCGAGTCAGACTGATATTTATCTATCTATTTATTATTTCTTTTCTTTTCTTTCAAGGCAATCTTGCAGGCAGAAGTGGAACTGAAATTGTGGATGAACACTCCAGATTGGCAAGTTTTCCATTTTTCTTCTCTTTCCTTTATTTCTGTATTCTGATCATCTTACACATGGGAATGGTACAATGGAGAACATGCAGGTACTATTGGTACAATATATTTTGGGGGGTTTCTCTAAAAGTAATGGTTCTTATGATGTACTTAATATGTAGTTATCATTATCATATTTTATTATGGTATCAAACCTGTTATCAAAAACAATACACAAACAAACTTTCTTTGCAATTATGAAAACATAAACAAATATGTAACATGGATCAATACTTGAATGTTTAATATTCCTTTAATAACATAGTCATCATCTCTCTCAGAAGTACAATACACAAAAAAGCAGTTAACATTATAAATCCCTTACTGGTAAAAATATGTTAAATACTCCCTATATGTTCAAGGTAACTAAGACTAAAACCTACCTGGCCATCCTGATTGACCATGATGTTGTCTGGATGTCTGTCCCCAATGCCTAAGACAAATGTGGCCACACAGTACCCAGCACAGGAACGTGTGAAGTTGTCAATGGCTTGGTCAAGCCTGTTTGGGGAGATAGGATTATGTTATCTTGAGAATCAGAGGATTGAGGATTTCACTATCGAAAAATATCACCTCTTTACTTTTATGGCAAAAGGCTAGCTCTCCTTCTCCCTAGCCTCCTCCTCTTAATCTTGTTTCTACCTCTATCAAAACCTTTTATCTAATCTCATTTTACCCCCATCTTTTGCCTCTTCTCCACATCCTCTCCTTCCTACTAACTCTCTACTACCTCCTACATCCATATCCCTTCCCTCTTACCTGAGTCCCTTGTTCTTGTCTCGGATCCACTTGAAGAGCTGTGAAGAGTCCACCTGAATGGCCCCCAGCTTAGAACTTCGCTGAATGCTGTAGACTGTCTTGGCATTACGCACCATCTCAATGAGGCCCACCTGTTTGCCTGTGCTCAGGCAGGAGTAAGGGGTCATGCCTAGGTCAAGCCCCTCCATGTTCCACAGATGTGACATGATACCAATGGCCTGTAGGGTGAGCATGTCCTGCCTCAAATCTGTCAGGGTTGGAATCTCTTTAATCAGTTGTTGAAATATTGATGTTCATAGATTGTGAGAAAGGAGGCGATAAAATCAATGATATATATTTTTTTCTCAATTCTATAGCCAAAAGAGACTCGTTTTACATTTCATTCTTTGCAAATCTATCAGAAGGCTGAAAGCAGAGATTTTATTTAGTTTCGTTATTCATATCAAATCACTCATGCATATATGCACACATACATAGAGAAACAGATACAGGCACACAAACACAAAGTATGAAGAACCACCTACCATCCCCACTCTTGAAGATGATGGCATGGGACAGCCAGTAGTGAGGGGCCATTGGATCAGGATTGTCCCACACCAGGCAAAAAGGGCGACGGGCTGAGTCTAGGACCTTGCATTCTGAGATTCTCAGGCGCCCTAGGGAGTGGCTGGGGTGGAGGGGGGAGGTAAGGTGTTGGAGGGTAGAGGAGTAGTCAGGTTCTGCTAGCTGCTCCCTCAGGAACCGGGTCTTCTCCTGCCAGAGTGGGTAAAGAGAAAGTTCGCCGTTGTAGGATATTTAAGCTTTATCATTTGTATCGGTACAAATTTATGGGTTAATATAAATAACTCTAAATTAAGACAAATGTATTCACTACTTTCAAGAATAACTACTAACAAAACTAATGGAGAAAAAAACATAAGATATTTAACCATGCCTGGTCATTTGTGTTTTAATGGGCAAGCATTCATTAAGGCAACCTATTTTTAAAAACCTGTAATGCATTAAAGTGAACATGCAATCAAAAGCAAGCAGAAAGATCTCTTTTTCACCTGTGCCTTAAAAAAATATAAAGAGCTAGTTAAATGTATGTTTCCCATGCTCTTACTTTTCAGTAAGTGGCTGGCTTTTGAATGGCAACTTGAAACTGTTTTTTCTCAACTTACCCTATTGGTGTCAGACCTGTCCTTGATAGCCTCGCCAAGCCGAGTCAGTTTGTCGACCACCTCCACTTGTCGTGTGACCGCCTTCAGACTAGGACCCAGACCACGGCAGTAAGCCTCCAAGACTGCCAGGGCATGAAGGGAGCAGGGCCAGAAGTTGATGTCAGATCTGCAAAGGAAGTAGGGGGACATTGTAGGTAATGCACTCCAATTAGCACTAAATTTTGAATCTGTCACCAGCTGTCTTCACTAAGGACCAATTCAGTGTACTTCAGTGTAAACCTAAATCACAATCTGGTCATTCATGGTCTATAACCTCAACTACAAATAATGCCTTAGTACTTTCTTTACCAAAGCCAGCCATTTCCTGTAAGGGAAACCCTTTTTTCTTTTCTTTTCCTTTTTTTCACTTTTTAATATTCCTAAATCTATCATTTTGACTAAATGACAAGTTTTACAGTCTAGTTCAAAAGTTTAAAATATGCACATAACTAAGCCTAATATACTTTAACTTAACCCTTACTTCAGCTGCCAGAAGAAAATCTGCCCAATTTTGGAGTTTGTCAGTGCTTTCCTTAGTAAATATCGGAGAAGGGATGAATCCAAGTAGGATTCGTTCTTCAGAATCTGGACTAGTTGCAACAAATACTGGAAAAAGTAGAAGTTAAGTAAAAATTCTTGAAGATACTGATATTTTCAACTTCACTATTTCATTTCTATTAATCATTCAATTCATGTGCATTATTCTTCATTTTATAGATTAGGATTGATGCCAACAACATGGTTTTAAAATTAATACAAATAAAAGAACAAGAGTAAAAACTAAACTAAAATAAAAAATAATAATCAATATTCCTATATAACAGTAACTAACATATAATACTGAGTAACATTAGAAACAGTAAGAATCATAACAACACTAATAATAGATAAACCAATAGGTTAATGGTATCAATACCAATCAGGATATGAAGCTAATAAAAGTGAGTTACCTGGGAGAGCCTCTCATCCGGAAGGCCCTTGTCGAGGGATTTAACTGCATGCTTGCGGACAGTTGGGTCAACATATTTACACTGTAGCAATTCAAGGGCCACTTCAGGAGATACCAGTGGCCACTCTTTCATCAGTAAGTAAAGCTGGATAAAAAAAATACCAGGAGTTAAAAGAATGAAAAATAGTTAATAAAACAGTAATAGCACATGAAAACCAAACTGTTTTCTCTAATGAGAAGCCAGGTCATTTTCTCTCCAACAGAGGGACACTGGAGTTCTCACTCAAAATCTTCATGGTCCCAAATCGTGTAAATATGATAAAATATATTTTCCCAAAATAAACTTGAGCAAATCCTAAACACTGGAATTCCACCTTATAGAAACATGGATATCAAATTTACAAATGCACATGCACACACTCCCGCACATATGTACTAGCAGACACAAACACACACAGTCATAAAGACCAACACCGTGCTTGTCTCACCTGGCTGACATGGTCGCGAGAAGACCATCTGACAGCATCTAGCAGCCTAGGCAGTGAGTCGGGCACTGAGAGGCACAGTCTCCTTCTGGACCAGAGGAGCTCCTTGTCTTGCTCACTCAGTTCACTCAGAGAATCACGTGCAGCAATTTCCTTGATTTTCTCTAAGTCTTCCTGGCTGTCCTCCTGGCCCTATCAGAATGAGCATGTGGTTTAAAATGCATACAAATAAAATACAGGAAAATCACTTTTATATCCATACCAAGTTTATTTTGAAGAAGGAATTACTTTCCTAAAGCATACAGTTGGTCACTACAAAAACATTTTGAGTCATAAAATCCACTCTTCACCCAAGCAACAGAAAACATTTACCTGGTCCTTTGGTTTTCGTTCTAGCTTAATAATATAGCGAGCATAGTCCTCCATCTGCTGTGTGTCAGGAAAGGTTACTTGCTGGTTAAAGCGCCTCTCAAACTCCACCTCAAGGCACGTTGTGTCATTGGCCAAAGTCTGACCTGTAGGCAGAAATGTGGAAAAAAAAAAAGAAAAAAAATTGTAATCATCATCATTTTACAATACCTCCACACCACAAACCCAATATATACAGTCATAATAAAAAACAACAATCACAACCTCCAGCCAACTGACCTGTTGCACCAAGTGGGTTCAAAAGTGCCTCAAAACCTCTAGGTGGTGGTAGCATTGCAATTGACACCCGGTTGTGGACCAGTTGACTGCGGAAGTCGAAGAGATTGATGTTACCCCAGGCCAGCATACAGTGTTCCTGCTATAAGGATGGGAGAGAAAAGATAGAGCCTGCATTAGGATGAGATAGATCTGGTAAGGTTGCTTCTCCTGATGATTATTTGCAGATGTTGGTGAGTTTGTGACAAACAAAAAACAGAAAATAAAGCCCTAAAAGCCCACACACCATTTTCTCCTTCTTCTTTTTCTTGTCAGTCTGCTTCCGTTTGGAGCAGATGGAGAGACAGAGACGTGCTCCTCTTGGGATCTCCTGGATTGGAAGCTCAAACTGCAGCCACTCCTCCCAGTTGGGGCTGCTGCCAGGCACATGCTGCGTCTCCCGCACTGTGCACAGCTGCTCATCCCCATGGAAAATGCCTGATCGCACATATATCTGCAGTATCAAAGGGAAGTAATAATTTTTTCTAATATATTTTCATTAATCTTATCTTGTTTCCTTCACTTTACATTGTCCTTATGAGATGCCAATAAAAGTCATGTAATTTTACAATTGTTGATGATAACTATCCATCAATAATGATAGTGCTACATGCCAATGTAGAGGGTTCTATGTAAACATTTAAAAGGTAATAGATATTAATACTATAGTCATTATATACTTGAGATTTAATGCAATAGCAATTTTATTTAATTATATTGGATTATAATCCTAAGGTTTTTTAAAATGTAAATATTAGTTCTAATTAAGTATTGACATTGAAAAGTGGCAACTGTGCAAGTCAGAGATGAAGTCACTAAGGACAGTCTTTAGACCAAGTTATTGACATATTCTATGACAATCTTGGAGTCAAAGACTGTTTTTATGATAGTCCTTAAATCTGTCAAAGAAAATTCAATGACTTTTCATGAATACTGCCCCACTTTCCATAATTCTCATAAAGATGGCTATCAGAAATTGATAAATATATTTTTAAAATAGATATATTTAAAAAATAGATATGAATCAGCCCTTACCCATTATAGCCAGTATCTAAAACATCAGATTACTGGAATCTAAATAAATATGCATCAGATATCAATCCATCCCATCATAGGAGAAATACATCAAACACCATACTGGAAATCCTTCTGTAAAATAGAAGAAAAAAAAAACTCATCTTATAACTGACCTTGTGTGCCTCCTTGACATTGACATATGATGCCCACAGGATGTGCACCTTGAGCCTCCCGTCCATACTGGGGTGCCAGAGGGACAAGGGTGATGCAGGTGCAGTGTTGGGCATGTTTCCAGGTGTCCTCACATAAGTAGGCAGGACAAAGTCGAACTTGGTGAGTGAAGCATACAGCTCTCCACGGGAAACCATGGACAACTGTGGGGTCTTGCCTCTGGACAGCCACACACGGACAGTCTTGAGGGCGGCCCGTGGTGGTAGCATTGCAATTGACACCGGTTGTGGACCAGTTGACTGCGGAAGTCGAAGAGATTGATGTTACCCCAGGCCAGCATACAGTGTTCCTGCTATAAGGATGGGAGAGAAAAGATAGAGCCTGCATTAGGATGAGATAGATCTGGTAAGGTTGCTTCTCCTGATGATTATTTGCAGATGTTGGTGAGTTTGTGACAAACAAAAAACAGAAAATAAAGCCCTAAAAGCCCACACACCATTTTCTCCTTCTTCTTTTTCTTGTCAGTCTGCTTCCGTTTGGAGCAGATGGAGAGACAGAGACGTGCTCCTCTTGGGATCTCCTGGATAGGAAGCTCAAACTGCAGCCACTCCTCCCAGTTGGGGCTGCTGCCAGGCACATGCTGCGTCTCCCGCACTGTGCACAGCTGCTCATCCCCGTGGAAAATGCCTGATCGCACATATATCTGCAGTATCAAAGGGAAGTAATATTTTTTTCTAATATATTTTCATTAATCTTATCTTGTTTCCTTCACTTTACATTGTCCTTATGAGATGCCAATAAAAATCATGTAATTTTACAATTGTTGATGATAACTATACATCAATAATGATAGTGCTACATGCCAATGTAGAGGGTGCTATGTAAACATTCAAAAGGTAATAGATATTAATACTATAGTCATTATATACTTGAGATTTAATGCAATAGCAATTTTATTTAATTATATTGGATTATAATCCTAAGGTTTTTTAAAATGTAAATATTAGTTCTAATTAAGTATTGACACTGAAAAGTGGCAACTGTGCAAGTCAGAGATGAAGTCACTAAGGACAGTCTTTAGACCAAGTTATTGACATATTCTATGACAATCTTGGAGTCAAAGACTGTTTTTATGATAGTCCTTAAATCTGTCAAAGAAAATTCAATGATTTTTCATGAATACTGCCCCACTTTCCATAATTCTCATAAAGATGCTTATCAGAAATTGATAAATATATTTTAAAAATAGATATATCTAAAAAATAGATATGAATCAGCCCTTACCCATTATAGCCAGTATCTAAAACATCAGATTACTGGAATCTAAATAAATATGCATCAGATATCATTCCATCCCATCATAAGAGAAATACATCAAACACCATACTGGAAATCCTTCTGTAAAATAGAAGAAAAAAAAAACTCATCTTATAACTGACCTTGTGTGCCTCCTTGACATTGACATATGATGCCCACAGGATGTGCACCTTGAGCCTCCCGTCCATACTGGGGTGCCAGAGGGACAAGGGTGATGCAGGTGCAGTGTTGGGCATGTTTCCAGGTGTCCTCACGTAAGTAGGCAGGACAAAGTCGAACTTGGTGAGTGAAGCATACAGCTCTCCACGGGAAACCATGGACAACTGTGGGGTCTTGCCTCTGGACAGCCACACACGGACAGTCTTGAGGGCGGAAGAAATATAATTTTAAAATCTGGATATACATACAAGAAATGCAAAAAAAAAAAAAAATAAGCAAACCAATAAAACAACAGAGTGAAATTCCTGGATATTAAGAAAAGAAAAACTAATGAAAATAAAAGAAATTAAAAAATAATAATAATAAAAATGATAATAATAACACCAATAAAGTGAAATTCCAAGATGTTTGGAAAATAAATGAACAACAAAGAAATAAATAAACAAATAAATAAGAAGAATGATAAGCACAACAATAATAAAAATCTAATCATTACCTTGTACTGGGTGATGGGACGACTAGCCAGGAGGTATTCATTTGTGCCGCAAATCTTGAGTGCATGTCTAGAGGACTGCTGTGACGTGGTGAGGGATCCGAGCATGTCTGGTGCCGGGGCCAGACGTGTGAGTGCCTCAGCTATGATACCGTCAGGGTAGGTGTCCCATGTGATGCGCACACTTGTAGACTCTGAGGTCCCTCTCCAGACTGTCACTGTCAGGTAGCCTTGGGGAGGAGGAACTGTTTTAGTGGCACTTCTCAGAAACAAAATGATAGAGTTAAAATTTCCTCAAACTTTGACTAAAAGGATTATTTCTTGGGAACTGAAAACTACTTTCAAAGTACTCTCACAAATTAGGAAATGTGACCATTAAATGACTCTGTATCCCTTTATTAGTTTGATAAAATAAAGGAATACCTTCAGTCTATCTACTCGTGATGCTTTCCAAAATGCATTAAGGCAATCACACTTTTTTATGAAGGCAATTCAAACACACCATTGGGAGGCTCATATCTATGTCATAGTTTCTTACAACATTCTTTTCTTTCTTTATTCTTCAGGTTCTCCTTCAACTCTAGACTGACTGAAAATCTACAAAACCTTCACAGATTCAAGATTTTTCTGTGCTTTCATTTTGATACTTTTCTGCAACAGCAATGTTTATGAAGTCAAAAATGATAGGCTACATAGTTGACACTGGGAGAAAGGACCTAACTGGTGAGAAAACATTAGAACCTTTGCAGGATTGCCTTGCAAAGGAAAATGATTGTTGATAACAACTTAATGCTCATTATAAACACTAAAATATACTTGATATTCTTTGGTATCGGTAATAGACTTCAGTGAACTATATTTTAGAAGAAACAATTAATTAATTCTTTTTCTTATCATTCATGTTTATTAACACTATTGCTATCTGCTGAAATTATCAACTACATACGTGTTCTATTTCATTTCTATTCCTGTTTGTTTACAAAAATTACCACTGAAGATGTTGTAGATGATAGTTTAATCAGCCAAAAATGTATCTGCAGGATTATTTAACACTATAATTCATCATAAAATTCTTGATACAGCAATTATAGAGAGAAACTTTATGAGATCACTATTTTACAATGGTATATAAATTATCAACTTATCACTAATCAAATATACATTGATGTACCTTGAATACTTTACTTCATGATGTTTATGATATATACCACGAAACCCATGATGTTCACATAAGCTCTTCACATAAGCTCCACAAAGTCTATGAATATGACCAATATTCACATTCTAAAGGTTTACAAATACATATACATACTCCAAATCACCCTCCAATCCAATCAACAAAACTGCAGATCCATACACATGAAAAAAAATCAAGTACAAATAAAGAATTAAAAACACTGTGTACCTTCATCTAAGTGTTTCTCAATGGACCTAGGTAGGTGTGGTGTGGGTTCCAGCTCAGGTGGGTGTTGGTAACATGCTAATGACTCAAGGCCACACTGCTGCCTCACCTTCACCGCTTCACTCACCACCTGTAGAGGGGGTTGTCGCTCGTTAGTGGGTTAGTAAGCTTTAGTGGTCTCCATTCACATGCACTCAGCCAGATTAAGGATTACTTCCAAGTAGCAGCAGTTGGTAATTATGACTGATTTTAAGAGCATCATTAAATAATAATGAGTATGTCCTTAGTGGTGCAAATGTATAAAAATATATACATGAGATCTATGTTCCATGTGAAAAAGAACTAGAAGGGGAAGTGATATAATAGGATAAATCCAACTAAGTTTCTCACCTCTATGATATTCCTCCTAAACTCCTGCAACTGCAGCTGTTTAGCATCATCAAGATCATGAACAGAACGCCCAATGGCCAAGCCTTGAAGAAAGAGAGTAGTATTATCAGTAAACTTATGAAGATATTATCATCATCACAATATCATCAGCAATGATGGACTGACAAGCATAAAAGATACAGTAATCATCATCTCAGACATTCAGCAAAACAAAACAAAGTCAGACAGATTCAAACTTCCCAACATGTACTCACTAATCTCATAGTTGAGGACCTTCTCCTCCTTGCTCCCTCGTGGCTCCACCACCTTGAGGATCGGAGAGAAGAGGCGCAGGTCGCACAGCCGTTTGGTCTCATCCCAAAACTCCTCCTGCTCTGCATCCTGTGTCAC